CACTCCTCGGCCAAACACAGATTACACTGGACTGGACTATTATGTGAGCAGTGACCCATCTTGGGTCAAGTAAAATCTCCTTATTCCTGCTCAGAGCACAATGCTGCAGTCATGCCATGACAAAGTTCTGTTTGGCAAACGTCACATAAAATTACACACAAGAAATCAGACAGAAATCATTAGGAACAGCACGGATGTTTCTTTTAAAGGCTGACGGCAGAGCAAAAAGAAGCAAAGTGAATCCGCTCCTCTTTGAGAGCGCTGGCGTGTTTACGGTGAGCTAACCTTGATCGGAGAGGAAATCCAGCATGGTCTGCAGCAGGAAGGACAGGTGGCGTACGGACAGGCCGGGGTTGCCCATGCGGCGGGAGGCGTAGACCAGCTCGTGCAGCAGCCGCATCTGTACGGCCGCCCAGCCTCTGTGGGTGCCTGAGACAGAGAGGACAGAAAGGGGTTCACACCCTGAGGACTGGAATATCACCTAGTTATCACATCAGATTTGTCAATATAATTTGCAGAAAAATATCAAGTCATGATGAGATTCTGCCTCTATATTAAATATTTCTTCAGGTCAGACAAAAATCTCTGAAGACTGGAGTGAAACATTTCTTATATCACCACTGGGAGAAATCATTTTTAAAAGGAAAGGTATTTAGGGTATTTTTCCAAACTTGTTTTCTTTCTTTTTCAAATAAATTTCAGATTACATAGACAAGAAAAAATTGTGAATGACAAAAAAACAGATAACACATTAATGACGATACAAGTAACAAAGCTCTGAAAAGGTTCTGCAATTAGGCGAGTTTATGCCAAAGGGTAAAGGTGTCAGGATTGGGTATAAAAGAAGAAACTACCAGAAGCTTAGTGTCCATGCCAGGATGGGTTGTGACTCACCGCTCTGTGTCAAACTTTATCTAAAAATCAATGTTGAAAACATCATTCCAGGTCCACACATAGACGATCAATCACACGCACTAATATTCATGCCTAGGGGCAATTTAGAGTTTTCAATGAACCTAACGTGCTTGATTTTTAGAATTTAAGCTGGAGCACCCAGAGAAAACTCATGCACACACAGTCCCACGGAGATAAACATCTGAAACTTTCTTGCTTTGAAGTGATGGTGCCGGTCACCATACTACCATAATCAACACATAGGATCAGAAAACCATTTTCTGAGTGGATTGAGAGGACACAATCTGCTCTGAGATGGACAGAAAACAGTTGTTGGGTGTTTAGAGGTCAGATAATGCCATGTTTTTGCCATTACTGGAAAAAAAAAATGATGTCTATTATATATATTATATACTGACTGCAAAAGGTGAAGGTAGTATTGGTATCCTAGAACTTAAATGCAATATGCTATTATCAGGAAGACATCTCTTTTCAGATAATCTGTGGTTGTTTCAACACTTCAATACCA